TCAACACTTTAGTATTTACCCATCAGAATCATTTGGTTCCAGGCTTGTTGGCCAACTAATGAATTCTGCACAACAGCCCTGGGTTTGTTTTCTGTAGCACTGGTGATGCCCACAGCTCTTTTCCCTCTATTGTTTCATTGTGACCTTGTGGGATTTCTCCCCCCAGGAAAGGGAACGTGCCATAAAATAATAGTGCTGAGGCTCATGGGAGATTACTCCTCAAACCTCCCTGTTTTGCATATTGGGGAAACCAAAACCCATGTTGGGGAAGGGCTTGTTCCCTGGTTTAGTGTTTTCTCCACTGACCACTCCACCTCCCACACCTTGAGATGAATGAAGGCTGCTATAAATAGGAAAAATTACCAACCCATATCCAGATATCCGATGTGCCAGGCACTGAGCTCAACCTTCTGCATGACAATGTGAGCAGTCCTGACAGTGTTCCATGCCCATCTCTCAGAGGGGTTGAATAACCTGCCTAAGGTTTCACAGCCAGGAAGGATAGAGCTGGGATTTGAATCCAGATCATGCTGAGAGGCAGGGTTCGCATCAGTATACTACACTGCCTCTCAGAATAGCAGTTATGGTGTCCTGGATACGTGTGTGTGTGTGTGTGTGTGTGTGTTTATTTCAGAGAGAGAGAGAAATAGAAAATCATTGATCGGCTGCCTCCTGCACACCCCCTAATGGGGGTCAACCACAACCCGGGCATGTGCCCTGACCAGTGAATTGAACCCTGACCTCCTGGTTCGTAGATTGATGCTCCACCCCTGAGCCACATGGGCCGGACGGTTTCCTAGGTTTTCAAAGTCAAGTCTTCATTTTTGTATCAGGAATCAGAATAATTATCCTGATTATAAAAGTACACAGCGGCTCCGCAAAGGATTTCCCTTCCTGGAGCCCCCAGTTTCCTGCCCATGGGCCTCTAACCCCAAGGTGGGTGTGTGCTCTCCGCCCCCCTCCAGGTCCTGGTGATCCGGCTTCGGGACAGTCTGATCAAGATGGGCGAGGAGCTCTCCCAGGCAGCCACGGCGGAGGCCCAGCAGCGGGAGAGCAGCCAGTATTACCAGCGGCGCCTGGAGGAGCTGAAGGCGGACATGCAGGAGCTGGTAGAGCGGGAGGCGGAGGCCAGCCGCAGGTGCATGGAGCTGGTGAGTGTGGTCCTGCGCTGGTTCTGTGCTGGAGGGTTTGAGATTGGAGAGAGGCTAGAATCTGGTGCCAGTGGGCCAGGCTGGAAACCTGGAGAAACCGAGAGATGGGCAGAGAGATGTTGCTGCCATTGGCTGCTAACTCTGGGGGGGGTGGGCCCAAAGTGGACCAATGGTGTTCACTCCTGGATGGTCTCCAAGCTCCTTTGTGTCTCAGACTCCAGGTCCAGCCTCACACATTCCACCCCAAAGCCCGGGTGGCCTCGTGAAAAGCAAGGAATCAATGTTTATTAAATGTCTGCCTTGCATGTAGTCTTCACATCCATAATAATGTCTTGTAATCGTCATAACCCTGCAAAGTCAGAATTATTGTCCCATTTACAGATGAGGAAACTGAGGCTTCACAGAGGTGAGGTAACTTGTGTAAGAGTACACCTAGCCAATGTCAGTGCTAATTCCGGACTGTTAATAACAACAACAAATATAAAAAATAAAGAGGATAATGTTAAAGCCACCATTTTTTAAGCACTTGCTACATGCCAGGTTCTAGGTTAAACATTTGTCGTTTAAAATCCTCTGATCGGTATTGTGCGGTAGGCACTATGCTTATCTCCATTTTGCAGACAGGGAAACTGAGGCACAGGGGCATCAACATGCCAAAGAGAGTCTCAGAATGGTGCTACCTGCGAGGAAGAATTTGAATCTAGGTCTGTCCAGCTCTGCAGTCTCTGCCTTCATTCGCTAGCCATGCTTGCCCCCTGGTGTGGGCCAAGGGACATTTCGAAATTTGTTTCCTGCCCAATGGGAAGGTTTTATTCGTCATTCAGTGTATTTTTCTGAGAACAGTTTCCTGCAGAGATCACAGGTCTGAGAGAGCCTGCTCCTCCTTTTCCCCACGAGGCCGAAGAACCCTAGGACGCCAGGTTTTCGTTTCTGTGGCCCAGGAGGCATCTGGCACCTCCATTGCCCCCCACCACGTAGCCTCCCCTGAGACCCACACCATGCCAAGGCCCAGAGGCCTCTCAGCCCCCGTCATTAGCTCCTTTCTGCCCTGTCCGCTCTGGCTTTGTGACAACTCTCATCAAATTGCCCTGCAGCAGGTATATTTCCCTGGCCACTGCCCCCCATGGTCAATGTCATTCCCATCAGCTTTGCCCTTGACAAGCCAGCAGGCTGGCTGTTGTGTGGGAGGTGGTGAGGCTCCTCTCAGAGAGGAAGTCCCCAGACAAAGCCCGAGCCCCATGACTGGCAGCTCCTCCACCCACCACGGCTCTGGGGGAGAGAGGCCCTTCCTCCATTTGACAGGATAACTTCCTCATTAACCAGCCTGCTTCTCAGGCAGCCGGGCTCCCACCTGGCTGGAGCGAGAGAGCATCCCTGGTCTTTTCTCCTCTGACGTCTTCTTTAACTGGCCGGACACCCAGAGGTTCTGGCCAGATCAAAATGGGTTTTCCCTCTCCCCTTGGCGCGCTCTCGTTCTCTCTCTCTCTCTCTCTCTCTCTCTCTCTCTCTCTCTCTCTCTCTCTCTCTCTCTCTCTCTCTTCTCCCTTTCTCCTCTGTTTCTCTCTTTCAAGGCCCCAAAATACTAACAAGATACACAGCCCCTATCTATGAATCAAAATAGAAAGAACACAAAACTCTAAAACCCAAAGCTGGCACGTATGCTGAAAGGAGAGCTGCACCCTTCTCTGGTTTCTAATTGCAAGGCTTTGGGTAAATTCACCCCGGCTGAACTCTCTTATGGTGGGGTGTGTGGTTGCAGGTGTGTGTGTTTTCTGGGGCGGCCTTAACAAATGCCCAAAAGCTGGGTGGCTTTAAACAGTGGAGATTGATTCTCTCATAGCTCCGAAAGCCAGGAATCTGAAATCAAGGTGTTGGTGGGGCTGTGCTCCCTCTGAAGGCCTAGGGGAGAAGCCTTCCTTGCCTGTCCAAATTCGGGGGGTCCCCTGTGTCCTTCGGCTTACGGCTGCGTCACTCCAGTCTCTGCCTCTGTCTCCACAGGCCGTGCTTCTCTGTGTGCGCAGGTCTCACGCATCCCTCTGCCTTTTTCTCATACGGACACCTGTAGTTAGATTTAGGGCCTCTCTGAAATCAATAACAATATATATTTTTTTAAAAAGATAGACAAAACTGAGCTCAGTTGGAGAGTTCAGTGAGCACAGTCATTTTAAGATGAACCCTGTGGCTGAGGCCCCTCCCATCGGCGTGGCTTTCTGGAACTTTCCCAGGCTTCTCAGAAGATGCTGTCTCCTCTCTCCGGGTCCATTTCCGTGTCACCAGTGTGCCCCCCTCCATCCTCTCTCTAAGACCAGGGGCAGCTGCTCCATGCCACCTGCTCTCTGAAAACCTCCCCCAAAGCCTGCAGAGCCCTTGGTGTCCTGGTTCCTTCCTTCGTGTACTTTTTACTGTGGGCCAAGCCTCCTGCTAGATGTTGGGGATCCAGTGGGGAACAAGATAATCTCTTGCCCTCAAGTTGCTCGCATTGAATGGCTGAGGCCATTGCCTGTGTATTTTACACATTCCTCTGTAAGGGGTGTGCAGAGCTTTCATTGACAAGACAAGGTGTCTGCGTGCTGGCATTTGGGGGATCCTGCCCCGTCTCCACCACAAATCATTTCTTTGGGTGAAGCATTGCCCTCTTCATTTTCCATTTGTGAAATTCCAATCTCCGTGGGAGGAAGAGAATTTCCTAACTCCCCAGCCCAAGCATTCATTCACCCACTTACTCATTCATTCATTTGGACAAATGTTTGTTGAGTCTCTCTATGCTCCGGCCCTTTGCAGATGTTGTCTTCTTTCACACTTAGGACAACCCCAGCAGGTGGAGAAAGTGGGGGTTCAGACTTGTGAGGTGCCTTACCCAGGGCTGCAGAGTGGGGAGTGGCAGAGCTGAGGTTGGCCGCCCTGTGTGTCCAACTCTGAAGTTATCCCTGCGTATCCAGTTCTGCCCTTTCAACCCAATGCTGCTGAATAATGGCTCTGCTGTGGGAGACCAAAAAACAGGGTCCCGCACTTGGGGCCTGGTGAGGAGTGAGAAGGATGTTGATGGATCTTCCCTCTGGGTTCCTTTCCGCCTGTCTCCAGCCTGTACCATTTGTCACTGTTGCTGTTGGTTTAAAGGCTGCGAGTTGTTTCGTGCGAATGATTTACACCCCTCGCTGGTGCACCGGCACGTCCAGATCAGGATCAATTATCCCGCCGATGGAACTTCTCCTCCTGGAAAAAAGAAAAATGAGGTTTTGCCATTAATTTTAGTAAATGTACTATTCCTGGCGACTCCAGGAGCCATTATGGAGAAAAAAATATTCTGGCCTCTAAATCATTCAAGTCCCTTTGTCATTGGGGCGAGGAGACAGCGCATCCGTGGATTTGTGGCCTGTTGTTTTTCAATAGTAACAAAGCCCAGGCGGTCCAGAGGAGGTCAAGGGGAGGTCAAGGGCAGCAGGAAGAGCCCGAGGTGACAGGGAAGCCTGCCCTCTGCCTGCTTTTGGCCGATGCACCTGCTTTTAGTTCGGAGGCTGCACCTGTTGGGTTTACCCTTCATTGCCTTGGCCCGACTCTGTCATCTCAACTCTTTCCTGAGCCAGGTGTCCTTTTCATAAGCCTCCCAGGTCTTGAAGAGCTTTGATGGTGCTTTTCTGCTCACTCTTAGAGGGACCCGAGCTGGAAGCTGCAGTGGCCTGGCTCCTTGGGGCTCACGCAGTTAGTGGGCAGGCCTGTTGCTTTTACCCTCCATAGGTATTTCTCAAGTCCATGCCCTCCTGCTCCATCCCTGTTTCCTGTGTCTATTTAACCTGCATCCCCTCTGGTCTAGGCCTCTACAGTT